CCCCCGGCTTATAAACATTGGCGATTTTGGACTTTTAGCCCCGGTTTTTTTGGGCCCAAATTTTGTTGTTCCGTTTTACCAAACTCATTTGTATTTTTTTAGAACCCCCCATTTTTTCTATGTTGGTAAAAGAAAAAACTTTCCCATTTACGATTTGAAAATACCCCAAATTTAAAGTGATCAGAAAAATTTGGGAATTAAAAACCAAATTTTCGAGCCAATGTTTTAGACGAAAAAAATGGGACTATTTCCGAAATGGCGGCTTTTTAGGTCAGTGATTGAAAGGGACCACGTATTACAATATTGCAGTAGCCCGAAACAGTAAATTTTTTTAAATTTTTTTTTGAATTTAAAAAAATTTAAAATGAAGAAAGTAAATCAGAGGGGCCCGGAGAATGACTGTGAAAAAAGAAAATGTTATTTTTAGGGCCAGGAAAGTTGCATTGTTTTATTCTGGGCCCCCCCTTTTTAAATTAGCATATTTTTAATTTGCGTGAAATTTGGGCCAAAATGCCCAAATTTCCCCGACCACGTTATTGGGGAATGAAATCAGTTAAAAAGGGGGTTTTTTGTACTTTTAAAACGTAGAAAAAAATGGAGTTTTTTAAAAAAAATAAACTATGGTTTGGTCAAATTTTGGAAAAATGGAATTAGCCGGAAAAAAGGGGTCAAATTGGGAAAATCGCCGTTCGTAAACATTGCTGAGGTCGCCTAACTTGGGGCGGAGCGTAAATTTCACCCGGGTTTTTCCCTCAAAATTTTTTTCTTTTTGGGGTTTATTACAACTGGGAAAAAATTTTTTAACATTTCATAAAAAAAATAATTTTTTTTTTTTTGGGGGGCCCCGGGAAAAATTTTTCGACACCCGGAGACACCTCAGGTTTTGGGGTTGGCCAAAAAGGGGGTTAATTTAATTTTTAAGCTGCCTTTACAATGAGATTGTAAGCCCACATACGAACACCCAGCAACCCCTTTCTGTTTAATTTTTTTGTTTCTTCCATTTTCCCCTTGTTTTTTCCCCTTCCAAGTACGCGCACTTTAAAAAACATCTTTTTATATGAGAGCACAAAAAAGGGACAAATTTTTAAAAAGAAATATGTTGTTTTTGGAGACCCGTTTGTGTGGATTCCCTCCTAACCCCTTTACAAAGAATTCCTTTGTTTCACCCACCCTCCCATTATGACCCAGTTCGGTTCGAGAAACCGGTTTGTAAGGGCGAAAGGAAGGGAAGTCGAACTTTACTACTGAATATCAAAATCACCTTTTTTTTTAATGCTTTTTTTATTGTTTTTTTTTTGGGATTTCCTGTTTTTTTTTTTTTTTATGTGTTAGTTAATGTTTTTATACTGTAAGGTTTAGGAGGCATGGAGAGGCCGAAAGCTCCTCCCCTCATCTGAGAGGGCCTCGAGCCCACTGGCAGTGAAGATGCAGCATGGAACCCATGCCATACCCTACCCTTCACACCAGTAAACCAGCACTCCGGGATAGCAGCCTCACATCTACTGAGCTACTTCGGTGGACAAAAGAAAGGACAGTTGGAAACCTGCCACAAAGCATGCCTACTTCGACTGCCACCCCCCAGAACCGACAGGCAGCTTCCAGAGATACACCCATCATCCGGAGGGCACCCAGCCCACGACCCAGAAATCCGGGAAGCAAGCAGGGAATCCTCAGACAATTCAGATTCCACAGCAAACCACACCACCCCTGAGGGACCTCATGGAGGGGGGCAAACCCTAGCATGCCACCCCCCAACCTAGAAACCTTAATGCCAGAGGCTACAAATGGGATGGGGAAAAAGGGGAGGGTTGGGAGAAGGGAGAGGGAGAGTGTGTGGGGGAGGTCACAAAGGAGAGAGGAAGAGGGCGTGGGTGAGGTCGCAAGGGTGAGAGGAAGAGGGTGTGTGCGAGGTTGCAAGGGTGAGAGGGAGAGGGCGTGGGCGAGGTTGCAAAGGCGAGAAGGCATGAAGGTGAGAGTGTGACGGCGAGGGTTTGGGCGAGGTTGCGAGTACAAGGGCAGGGGTGAGTGTGCGAGTACAACGGCACAAGGACGAGGATGAGTGCATGAGAGTGAGGGTGAGGAAAAGGGCAAAATCCAAGCTAAGAACTACCTGTAGAATTGGACCATTATTGAGAGGAGATTTGTATACTAACGAACAGGAAATGAGTGAAATCTTAAAAGAACAGTATGAGTCGGTGTTCAGCAACCCACTAAATGACAGCAGAATTTTTTTTCACTCCTGCAGAAGGCTGCACAGACCAACTAACTGACAGTACAAATCTAATAGATTTCGAAAAAGAAATGGACAACATGCCCACCCACTCAGCACCTGAACCAGATTCATGGAATGCTCTATTTATAAAGAAGCGCAAAGTACCATTAGCACGATCCCTCGGTATTCTTTGGAGAAAGAGCTTAGATCTAGGTGAAATACTGGAGGCCTTAAAGAGTACAGACATAGCTCCTTTGCATAAGAGAGGTAGTAGAGCACTAGCTAAAAATTACAGACCAGTAGCCTCAACTTCTCACATCTGCTGAACCATTATTACAGAATTTTGGAGGCACTGGAAGACGACCAAAACGCAGATGTGATTTACACAGATTTTTGAAAAGGCGTTTGACAAATGTGATCATGGAATGATAGTGCACAAAATGAAGGCCATGGGCATTATGGGGAAGGTAGGCAGATGGATTTTTGGGTTCTTAACACACACAACACAAAAATTAGTAGTCAACAGAGCAAGATCCAGCATCAGCGAGGTCAAAAGCTCAGTCCCCCAAGGCACTTTCCTGGCACCTCTGCTGTTTCTCATCCTCATAGCAGACATAGATAAAGACACCTGTCACACTTTTGTATCATTTGCAGATGACACTAAAATAAGCATGAAAGTCACTATGGTAGAGGACACTGAAAAAGTACAGGAAAACACAAGCAGGGTTTTCCAGTAGGCAGTGGAGAACAACATGACATTCAATGGTGATATGTTCCAGCTGCTTAGGTATGGAAAGAATGAAGAACTCAAAAGGAACACTATATACAAAACTTAAGACGGTCACCAAATAGAACAAAAGGAACACACAAAAGACCTGGGAATAATTATGTCAGCTGCCCTTTCTTTTAAAGACCATTACAAGACAAAGATCATGACAGCCAGGAAGATGACTGGGTAGGTATTGAGAACTTTCAAAAAGGAAATAATGTCAGTGGTGACACTCTTCAAATCGCTAGTGCTCCCTCATTGAGAATATTGCTCAGAGCTGATGGCCCCATTCAAAGCTGGAGAAATATCAGAGCTGGAACAAATACAGAGATTGTTTATGGTTCACACTGAGTCAGTAAAGGGCCTAAATTACTGGGAATGCCTTCAAGTCTTGAATATGTACTCATTGGAGCAGAGGAGATACATGATGATAATATATACCTGGAAAGTACTCGAGGGCCTGGTCCCAAATCTGCAAACTGCCATAACATACTGGAGTGAGAGATATGGGACAAAGTGTGAAATAAACCAGTAAGGAGCAGGGGTGCAGTGGAGACAATAAGGGAACACTGTATCAACATCTGGGGTCCCAGACTATTCAACATCTTACCAGAAGATATCAGAAACACAGCTGAAACACATGTAGAAGCCTTCCAGAGGAAACTGGACAAGTATCTTCACCAGGTGCCAGATCAATCAGGCTGTGATGAATATGTGGGGCAGTGGACCTCCAGCAGCAACAGCCTGGTTGACTACTCAAGCACCAGATGAGCCTGGCCCATGGCTGGGCTCCGAGAGTAGTGAAACTGTCGAAACTCTTCAAAGGCATGTCAAAGGTAAGGGCGCGAGTGACAGGGCACAAGGGGAAAGGTGAGGGCAGGAGGGAGAGGGCGTGGGCAAGGGAGAGAGGGAGAAGGGTGGGAGTGTGAGGCTGAGGGTGTGGGTGAGGTCCCAAGGGTGAGGTCACGAGGGTGCTGGTGAGGGCAAGGCCACAAGGCCAGGGGTGTGAGGGCAAGGTTGTGAGGGCACTGGCATGGGCAAGGTCGCAAGGGCAGGGGTGCAAGGGCGAGGGCACGAGGGTGAGGATGTGAGGGCAAGGGAGAGGACGTGGGTGAGGGAGAGAGGGAGAGGACGTGGGCGAAGGCGAGAGGGAGAGGGTGCGAGAATGCCAACCAGATAACTAGTCAACCAGCCAGCCAGCCAGCCAGCCAGCCAGCCAGCCAGCCAGCCAGTCAGCCAGCCAGCCAGCCAACCAACCAGTCAGCTAACCAACCATCAAACCAACCAACCAGCCAGCCAGCCAAGTAACCAATCAGCCAACAAGCCAGCCAGCCAACCATCCAACCAGCCAGCCATCCAACCAGCCAGCCAGTCAGTCAACCATGCAGCCAGCCAGCCAACCAAGCAGCCAGCCAGCCAACCATCCAACCAGCCAGCCAGTCAACCAAGCAGCCAGCCAGCCAACCAAGCAGTCAACCATCCAACCAGCCAGCCAGTCAACCAAGCAGCCAGCCAGCCAACCAAGCAGCCAGCCAGCCAGCCGGGCAACCAGCCAGCCGGGCAACCAGCCAGCCAGCCAATCAGCCAGCCAAGGAGCCAGCCAGTCAGCTAACTAACCAACTAGCCAGCCTGCCAACCACTTCAATTTCAGGCTGAAGGACTAATTACCTCAAACTTCTCTCTTCACACTGCTCTTCTTTGTATTTGTACTGATGAAGACACTGTGATGAAACGTTTCCTCATTAAAGTTTCCCATATGCTGCATAAATGTCTCATTCAACTTGTTTATCTTAACCATTTATCACTGAGTTTTATTATGTATGGATTTTGTCACCTGGCAGATTTAGCCCACACTTTTGGGATGGTCACCCAGCTTATTCTTACAATTTTCTTTTACTAAACATGTATGATTTCTTCAATGAATAATGTCTTTGCCTGAAAGTGTTGAGAACCAAGGTGCCAGGGAAGACATCTGGTGGCAGTTTGTTTTACGATGGCTGAGGAATAAATAAAAAAAACTGACACAGCAGAGCAGTTTATTACAGTTACATGTGTGATAAACCTGAGGGTACTTGTTTACTTGTAGGTGTCTGTGTGTGAGTAGTAACAAGTGCAGGAGGATCATCTAAGCTAGTCTGAGTTTGAGTGTGGGTGAAAGATAGTTCAGGGAACAACTCACTATGGCTATGATCTGGTGTCTGCGTATGAATTGTAGAGCGCATAAATTGCTCTATATCAGAGAAATCTTCATACGTCTGAGTTTCACTTGTGCACCATAAGCTGTCACTTTCATGCACCTGACATGATCCTGATGCCTGACAAGCACTGTGACTCTGGTATACATTATTCCCATTTAAGATAAGGAGACTACTAGGATCAGTCTGGGTTTCTGTAGTGGTTACAATAATTTCATCAGCATCATCAGGAGTATCAGCATTTTTGCTGAGAAGCACGTCATGATCCGTCTGAGTTTCAATGCTTGATGAACGAATGTGGCCAAGAGAGGGAGGTCTTCTTGCTCCCACAGTTTCATTAACTACTTCCAGCAAGTCATCATCATCATCGTCATCAATAAATAGCTGTGAAGAAGTAAAAGGATCAAGGTGCTCTGGTGTCTGTGTTGCTGTAATAGCAGTCATTGATGATGGAGAAATTCCTGGTTCATCCTCACCACATGCACGGTCAAACAAAGAAATAGCAAGATTGTGAAGCTGTGGGTGTGAAAGCCCAGCTACACCAGGACTTGTCTGTGTACCTGAAGTACTTTGTTGTGTGGTAATAAACTCTGGTAAATTGACTTGCAATGCTAAGCTCTCAAAAGATCCCTCATCATCATCATTACAGTCTTCTGTCCCAACATCAATAAAAGCAGAATCATTTTCATTATTAGAAGTGATTGCAGTTGAGCCAGCACCAGACATCTGGAGCAGTGACCCACCCTGTAACCGTTTGCTGTCTCTGTGAGTGAGTCTTGTTTGAGTTTCTGTTGTACGTTTTCGCTTACCAAGATTTCTCGAAGTCATGTTGTTTCCAGCCAGTTTCCAACATTTTGCTGGGCTAGATGACTTCCTTCTTGAACGGCGCATTACTTCAGTCTCTGTCTGGACACCCACATCCACACAAGGAATTCTAGATAAAAGTTTTAAAATAAAAATTTAAACATTAAAAATTGTTATAGACAGATAAAAGTAATACAAAGATAAATTACAAGTAATATATTGTATAGCTACAGTGTACCTTAATAAACTCTGTAATTGATGAGTTTCCACAATTTAAGAAAAACATCGATTAAATTTGATTTTTTTGTGAGAATAATTTTTTTTAACACATCAGCTATTTCCCACAAGGCAGGGTGACCCAAAAGAGAAAGAAAAAACTTTCGTCATCATTCAACATTTTCACCATCATTCATGCATAATCACTGTCTATGCAGAGGTGCTCAGATACAACAGTTTAGATGTCACTCCAAACAGCCAATATCCCAAACCCCTCCTTTAAAGTGCAAGCATTGTACTTCCCATCTCCAGGACTCAAGTCCAGCTAACCAGTTTCCCTGAATCCCTTCACAGAATATTGCCCTGCTCACACTCCAACAGCTTGTCAGGTCCCAAAACCTATTCATCTCCATTCACTCCTATCTAACATGCTCACACACACTTGTTGGAAGTCCAAGCCCCTCGCACACAAAACCTCCTTTACCACCTCCCTCCAACCTTTTCTAGGACAACCCCTACCCCGCCTTCCTTCCATTACAGACTTATATGCTCTCTAAGTCATTTTACTTTGTTCCATCCTCAACAACCCCTCTTCAGCCCTCCACACCTCCTCCTAATCTCCACACTACAAATTTTCTGCACTATATTTACAGCCTCCTCCTTGCGGCAGCATTCACAACCCATGCTTCACACCCATATAAGAGTGTTGTACATTCCCTTCTTTGCCTCTGTGGATAACATTTTTTGTCTTCACAGATACCTCAAAAACACCACTCGCCTTTTTTCTTTTCATCAATTCTATGGTTAACCTCATTCTTCATAAATCTATCTGCTGACAAGTCAACTCCCAAATATCTAAATATATTCACTTCACCTAACTCTTATCTATGCTCACTTTCAACTTCCCTCCTTTACATACCTCCCAAACTCGTCCACTAACCTGTTTACCTGGAGGTTATTCTGGGGATCAACGCCCTCACGGCCCGGTCCATGACCAGGCCTCCTGATGGATCAGGGCCTGATCAACTAGGCTGTTACTGCTGGTCGCACGCAGTCCAACGTACGAGCCACAGCCCGGCTGATCCGGCACTGACTTTAGGTATCTGTCCAGCTCTCTCTTGAAGGCAGCCAGGGGTTTATTGGCAATTCCCCTAATGCTTGATGGGAGGCTGTTGAACAGTCTTGGGCCCCGGACACTTATGGTGTTTTCCCTTAGTGTACCAATGGTGCCCCTACTTTTTATTGGGGGCATTTTGCATAGTCTGCCCAGTCTTTTACTTTCATAGGGAGTGCTTTCTGTGTGCAGATTTGGGACCAATCCTTTCAAGATTTTCCAAGTGTAGATTATGATATATCTCTCCCTCCTGCGTTCCAACGAGTACAAGTCAACTTTTCTTTATAATCTCCCAAAAGCACAGTATCATCAGCAAAAAGTAACTGTGTCAACTCCCATTTTGTATTTGATTTCCCATAATTTAATCTCACCCCTCTCCCCAACACCCTACTATTTTACAACCCCATCTATAAATATGTTAAACACCATGGTGACCTTTTTACTGGAAAGTAATCTCCTTCTCTCCTACACACATTAACCTGAGCCTCACCATCCTCATAAAAACTTTACAGAATTTAGTAACTTACTACCTATTCCATTCACTTGCAACATCTGCCCCTATCCTTTTCTAAATTCATAAATGCAATGAAGATTTCCTTGCTTCAATGTAAACACTTGATCTACACATCCCCTACCCATTCTAAAGGCTCCTTGTTCATCTGCAATCCTGCTCAGAATAATTATAATAATGCACCAAATGAACAAAATGCACATGAAAAGATTATTTACTGAAAGAGGACTACAGTATTAATAAAATATTCCTGGTACAATGCAGTACTGATATTAAATTTTAAAATTTTAATTGTCTAACAATGTGTGTGTGTATTTTACACATGTATGCATGTTTGTGTCATATTCATATATTTATTTTTAACAAACGAGATGTCCCCAATCAAGGTAGCATGACCAAAAAAAAGAAAAACACTTTCACCATCACTCACTCCAACACTATCTTGCCAAAGGGGTGCCAATACTAGTTTTTCAACACTGCAAATATCCCAGTCCCTCCCCCTCCCCCTCCCCCTCCCTCCAGGACTGGAATCCCTTCCTAGATATATCCCTCTGGATAATACTTTTAGTAACCCCGCACCTCCTTCTAATCTCCAAGCCACGAATTCTCTGCCCTCAAACAGGACATCTCCACTGCCTCCAGCCTTCTCCTTGTTGCGACACTCACAACCCATGCTTCACTCCCATAACGGTACCACTATACATGTACTTTTTGCTTCCACTGATAACATTCCTTGTCTCCACAGACTCCTCAGTGCTCCACCAGTTCTATGGTTCATCTTGTCTTTCATACATCTATCTGCTGACAAGGCCACTCCCAAATATCCGAACACATTCCTTCCCTCCAATCTGATATCCAGTCTTTCATTACTTACATTTTTATCCTCATCACCATGTTCACTTTTAATTTCCTTCTTTTAAATACCCTCCCAAATTCGTCCACCAACCTTTGCAGCTTCTCTACAGAATCGCAAAAAGAAAAGTGTCATCAGCAAAGAGTAACTTTCTGTTAGATTCTAAATTTTCCAATCCAACACCCCTCCCCAATACCCCTGCATTCACTTCTCTTACAACCCCACCTATTAACCCTTTGACTGTCGCAAGCCCCTTTCTGAAACTGTCATTCTATGTCGCAAAATTTTTTGAAAAAAAAAAAAAAAAAAAAAAAAAAAAAAAAAAAAAAAAAATGAAATGATAGAGAATCTTTTCCCAATGGTAATGACACCAAAAGTACGAAATTTGGTTGAAAACTCACGGAATTATGCTCCTGCGAAGTTAGCGGTCTCAGCGGCTTATACACATTGGCGATTTCGCTGACTTTGAGCCCTGTTTTTGGCCAATTCTGTTGTTCCAGTTGACCAAACTCATAGCTATTTCTTTAGAACTCCATTTTTTCTATCAGTTGAGTACAAGAAACTGCCCATTTACCGATTTGAACTACCCAATAAAGTGATCAGAAATTGGCAATAGATGCCAATTTGCGAGCCAATGTTTAGACGAAATAATGGGACTATTTCCGAAATGGACGGCTTTCAGGTCAGATGATTGAGGGACCACTGTATTACAATATTGCAGTAGTCTGCATAACAGTAAATCTTTTAATTTTTGTTTGAATAAAAATTCAAAATAGAAAGAAAGTAATATCAGAGGGGCCTGGAGACATGACTGATGAACAAAGAAAATGTTATTTTAGAGCCAGGAATGTCTGCATTGTTCATTCTGGACCCTATTTTGAAATTAGCATATTTTTAATTTGCGTGAAATTGGCCAAACTGCCAATTTCTGACCACGTTATTGGGTAGATGAAATCAGTAAATGGGCAGTTTCTTGTACTCAATCGATAGAAAAAAATGGAGTTCTAAAGAAATAGCTATGAGTTTGGTCAAATGGAACAATGGAATTAGCCGAAAATAGGGCTCAAATTGGGCAAAATCGCCGATTCGTAAACATCGCTGAGGTCGCTAACTTCGCGAGAGCGTAATTTCACCAGTTTTCCATCAAATTTTGTTCTTTTGGTGTCATTACAACTGGGAAAAGATTCTCTACCATTTCATAAGAAAAAATAATTTTTTTTTTGGGGTGGAAATTTTGCGACACCAGGAGACACCTCAGGATTTGGGGTTGCGACAATCAAGGGGTTAATAATTTCTTAAGCTGCCATAATACACTGAGAATGTAAGCACACATACGAACACACCAGCTAACCCCTTTACTGTGAACTTCTTTTGTGCTTCCATTTTCCTCTTGTTTTTCCTCTTCCAAGTACTGCTGCACTTCAAACTTCATCTTCTACTATGAGATGCACAATAAAGTACAAATTTATAAACGAAATATGTAGTCTTGGAGACTGTTTGATGCTGAGATACATCACTAACCCCTTTACAATGAACTTCCTTTGTACACCTACCATCCGACTTATGACCGAGTTCGGTTCCGAGAAACCGGTCGTAAGTCGAAATGGACGTAAGTCGAACTTTACTACTGAATATCAACATCACATTTTTGTAATGACTTTATTTTATTGTTTTATTTTAGTATTTCATGTTTTACTTTACTTTTTATGCTGTTAGTACTGTATTTTATACTGTAAGGTTTAGGATAAACACTGTGTACAACACAAATAGTTGTTTATTTCCCAGAAATTTAGCAAAAAAAAACGCGGTCGTAAGTCGAGTGGTCGTAAGTCGAGCAGGTTGTAAGTCGGATGGTAGGTGTACTTCTATTTTCCTCTTCCAAGAGGAAAAACAACAGTAAATTTGTACAAATATGTAGTCTTGGAGACTGTGAAATCTAGGGTGCTGAATGGCTGTAAGAAGGAGATTAAGATGCTTGATGCTGAGATACTGCACTGCCTGTTCATGACCCAAGTTCTTGTACAGTATACAATAAAAATTAATGTGAAGAGCAACAATTATCACTACAATAACTCCATATCAACTCCACTAGTGTTCTCATGGGATACAAGAGTAGAAAAAGCAACACGAAGACAGATACGAAACCTCCTAGAAAACTGTTACCCATAATGTCTGCCCTGAAGAACGTCAACGAATCTTCCACCCACCTCACCCCCGCCCAGACCAACAAAACAACAACAATGGTGGACGACTCAAAAACCTTCTCCAGATTCTACCAACACTCATCCTCATCCATAACTCACACCCAAGCTGACTTGTCTACAACTACGGATAACACCCGAGACCTCTTCACCGCAAACGCCAGCATAGATTACAACTCAACACCCTAAGGTATAACCCAGGAATTCAGTCCTCAACAACGACCCGACTCCACTG